ACTAGGACACACACTTGCAGACCGCTGGGTGTTTGTCATCCTCAGGGACCTAGCTGGAGACCACAGCAGACGTCCACCTGTCCCTCCGGCCTGAGGAATGCTATCTCTAGCTTTCACCTAGAAGTGGGGTTCTCAGAACAGCAGCATCAGCATCACACAGGAGCTTGTTATAAATGCAGAATCTCAGCCCCACCCCCACCCGCACGACCCTGCCCGCAATTAGATTCTGCATTTTCGTAACATTTCCGGGGGATCCATATGCACATTAAAGTTTGACACGCAGGGCCGTGGTGGGTCTTCCTGCCAGCTGTCACTCCTGAAGGCTCTCAGTGCTGGAGCAAGCTCTGCGGGCCTGCTTTCTCCCTCCAGTGACCGAGCATCTGTTTTCTACAACAGCGGGTCAGCAGGGACAGCTAGCTCCCTGAATGAATGGGGGACATTCCCTTCACCCCCATATTTGAGAGGTTTAATGATACGGCTGTTGTGTACCGAACCAAACCATGTTTCTGTCTTCCCACCGTGTCGCTTTTGTCCCCAGGCGATCTATAAGATGGTTTCCTCCGTAATGAAAATGCCTGAAGATGAGTCAACCCCAGAGAAAAGGACAGAAAAGATCTTCCGCCAGATGGACACCAATAGAGATGGTAGGAGGCGGCAGCTGCCTTGCTTTGCTCAGAGTGGGGGCTGCTGGAGGGGCTGGGGGTGTCCAGGCAGGGAAATGCCACTCGACAATAAGGTATTGGCCACAAGGACCTGGCTCATGGCCCTTTGTGAAAGTGGCTCATCCTGCAGGCTCTCTCTGGTGGTGCAGGACAGAAGGGGACCAGGGTGGGGACAGGCCCAGACCACAGCAGGCTGGGTCCCTGAAGACCGAAAGTGGGAAGGGGCTTGGCGTCATTTCACCCAGCCCATAGGAGCTTCCACGCAGCCTGCCTGGGGTTTAGTGGGCTCTCCTGCGCATGCTCCAAGGTGTTGTTTTCGGGAGCCAAGTAGGATCCCGCAGAGTGGA